TTACTTTGTAAAATTTCATAAAATGGACTATCTGATAGTGGTTATGTATCATTGAGAAATAGGATACATGATATACATTAATAATCTAAAACAATTTATTGAGTTCCAAAGAAAAGCGTACAACAAGTTTCTTCATATTGTATAGTGTTAAAGTCGTGTTAAGAAACGATATCAACATGTATGGATCTAATGTCTAAGGAATTGTTTTATTAAGATTATAGTTTAATTTCTTTGTTTGTTAAAGCTAATAAATATTTTTAACAATTGAATCATCTATGTTTATTGCTGACGAGGTACTAGGATTTATTTAAATCATTAGATTTTGCTATTCATTGGATTTTCTTCATCTAATGATGAATCAGGTGTTTGAAGAATTTCTACCATATTACTTTCACCATTTATTACATTCTCTTTTACTCGTGCATTATTATCTGCAATTCTCAAATTTATGCGGCTTACTGAATAAAGATTTTCATTTTCTGAATCTGTATCATTATTTTCATCATCAGAATAATCATCAATTTGAATTGGTTCTTCATTAATAAATAATGTTCGAGCATAAATACGTTGATATCGATCAACAAGAACAGAAACAAGCATACCAATTGTTGCAGCACCAAATAATGCACATAAACAGGATATTATTCGACCAATCGGTGTTATTGGGGCAATATCGCCATATCTAATATAAGAACATTTCAATAATAAATAAAATATTTTTTAAACTTACCCAACACTTGTTATTGTAATAATTCCCCAATAAGTTGCCTTAAAAATTGAATCAAATGGTTGACCATTTGAATGATCTTCAGCATAATAAGCAACAGTACCGAAAAGAAAACCGAATACACTTAAAATAATAATCATTATTAAAAAATCAAGTAATGATTCTGCTATTGCTGTTGAAAGCACACGAAAAGATTTCATACTTTTAAATACTCGATAAAATTTAAAAATACGTGCAAGACGAAATATAGTTAAAAATCGAAGATTAAAATAAATAAGTGAATTCATGTCATTGCGTCGACCAGCTAAACGAATAGCAAGTGTAATATAAAAAGGTATTATAGCTATTAAATCAATCCAATTCATTAGAGTTTTTATGAAATTAAGTAATGATGGTGCAGTTAATATACGAACAAAAAATTCAATTGTAAAAAATCCAATACAAATAGCTTGAATAACAAAGAAAGGTGATGCAAAATATAAAGCACAAACATAGGATGGTTGAGATGAATTTTGATTTGTTCCATTATT